CCATTTTTCTTTTTCTTTTGTTGATTCTTTCTAAGTTGAGCTTGGGGAAAAGAAGAAAGTCTCATGGAGCAAGATCAGGTGAAAAGGAAGGTTGTTCTCGTAGTGATGTTCTTCTCGATCCTGACGCTCAGGGCGTTGTGATCAGGTGGATTGTCGTGGTAAAGTAGCCAAGAATTAACCTTCTACAAAAGAATGCAAAAAAAAAAAAAATACAATGGTTACAGAAAGCTAAGATTACAATTATATACGCCCAAAATATCATGTTAGATGATAACACAATCTGCTTATCCGTTATACCATAATACCTAATCTATTGTAATCGACTCTCGCACAAATAATAAGTAGTAGTAGCAGCGGCCAGTTGGGCTCAGTGGTGTTGAATGAGTCAGTCAATGTCGGACATTGAAGTATCAACCATCACAACTAGATTGCTGCGTCATTAACTCTTATTTCAAGTTCCTAACGTTTTGTACGTCGGACACTTTTAGGACAGACTTAGTGACCTACAAGCCTCCACTGTGAAAACTACTCTACAACATTATCCCACTTTCGCTCGTAGCTCACACAGCACACACAGAGTTCCTTTATTTTTCTGACAAATCTCGTATGTTTTAATTCGTCCGACATCTTCAGCTTGGTGTGGTTAGGCCTGACAACATTTTGGAAGAGAAGAGAATAACAAATTTACACAACTCCCATTAGTGGGAGGAGCGGAATCCCCATCGCACAATACAGTTTACGATTAATGCGTGGACTAGATTTGTAGGTGGCTGTCTGCTAGGTCCATATATTCTCCCAGTACGTCTTACAGGAGATGTCTACAGGGACTTTGTTTCGTACATACTTCCAGACTTGCTAGAGGATGTACCCCTGGTAATACGAAGATGTGATTCATGCATGATAGGGCTCCAGTATATTTTAGTCATATTGTTCGAGATGCACTGGCTGACATCTATCATGCAAGATGGATTTGTAAGGAAGGGCTTGTTCCAGGGCCTGAACGTTACCCCTACCTCAGGCCTTTGAATTTTTATGTATGGAGACTCCTAAAATAATTGGATCATTCATCAGACAATAAAAATACAGAGACGCTTCATCAACGTGTCATGGGGTCTGCGAAACCATTAGGCAACGTGTAGGAGTATTTGAATGGGTGCGCCAGTCAATGATCCGACGGGTGCATACGTGTAGAGTAGCAAACGGAGATTTTGAACATTTCTTATGAGTTTTCGTGCTGAGGTACAAAGATGACATTCAGGATATATGTTTATATGGACATGTTACCTTGTTTTGGTGTCAGGAACTCGCTCGCAAAGTTTGTAAAAGTACTTTTGATAATTCCTATATATAAATATATATGTATGTGCTTGTGTGTGTGTGTGTGTGTGTGTGTGTGTGTGTGTGTGTGTGTGTGTGTAGAACATTATCCATTCAATAATAGTTAAATCTGCTACTTATTTTCATGTGATAAATGTTGTAACCTAGGGAAGGTTACTGAATAGAATAATCAAAGGTTGTAATGAACGATAATACTTAGGACAAGAACAACAAATATAATATTCGCCAGCGGTGCGTAGAAGAAGTAGTCAACTGCTAGAAGTGAGTCAAGTGAATTCCACAATGAATCTCCAACTGCAGCATATCTACCAACCTCCCCATACGGTCACATGTGGCACAAGGCCGAATTTAATATGGGGTGTCCTAGCCTGCAGGCTCTGTCAAAAATTTGCCGCAAAACTGAGACATGACACTGACCATTGATATAAACTTTTCTGGTGATACTCTCTGCAGACCAACATACAGTATTTACTACTGTATTTATGTGAATGGGGACATACCCATTATTATCAATAAGCATGCTAAAACAATAATAAATATCAGTCGGAAATAATATAGAACCAAGATAAAGTTAAATGATAGCTGATGATTATAATAACAAGAATCTCTTGCAGATTTATTATTATTACTATTATTGAATTAATAATATTTTTATATTATATTTAGGCTCTGTTGACTTTGGCATTGCACCCCAGGTTTATTCTCTATCTTAAGATGTTTTTATTATTACTATACTAGTGCGATGGGTAAATTGTCGCTATGTTATATTTTTTAATTTCGAGCATACGCGTTATTTCTTTTTTGATTGTGTCGGCTACACCGTAAGGTGGGGTCAGTTTAACACCATCTGAGAGAAAAAGAGCACCATGACAATATTCACTCTGCCAGAAATTTTGAAATGTTATACTGTACTACTTGATATTCACGCCGGAATCTCCAATAATAACACTTGAGGACATCAAACTGAAGAGAGTGCAGAGAATTCAGAAAGAGTTGGATGAGTATAATTATGATCACGAAGGTGTTTGGAGTGAGCACTAATGATGGTGACGTTGTGCTTCCATTCCTCTTACAACAGGGATTCAGACTCAACATGGAGGCCTACATCAAGTGCCTTAAGGAGTTAATGCTGCTCTGTATCAAGAGTGACTGCTGGAAGAACCTATATCTGGAAACAGGACTCTGCACCATGCCACAAAAGCAGGAGAACCGAGTCATAGCTATCAGACTCTTTCTTAGACGACATCAGTTCTTACATCTGGCCACATAACTCCCCAAACTGCAACCACCTTGATTATGAGCGAGATATTAACAAAAATCCTTGCAACACCTAAGATGAACTGAAGGCAAGGAGTACAGCAGATTTCATGAACTTAAACAAGGAGAACGTCCTGAAGAGATGCAGAAGCTTCCAAAAATTTCTGGAGGCCATGATTGAAGCCAATTGGTGATTGTATTGAATAAATTTATTCTTTAGCTTTTCAAGATATTTATGTGAAATACTTTAGCAAATATATTTGTTAAAATGAAATCTCAGTGTTATTTTCATTTCTGCGTAATTTAGATGGCAATTTATCCATCGCACTATATATATATATATATATATATATATATATATATATATATATATATATATATATATAAGTAATGAAAATCTTGGTAATCCGTATTGATAATCTCAAGGAGGGTGAAATCCGGAAAGCTCAATGTTAAAACAGAGCGATTGATTTAATTTAATGAAAACAGACAATATAATAGATACGTTGGTTAATAAAACAATGGAAAACAAAAGGGTACCAATGTGATAAGTTCGAAAAATATTTATTATATATTAATTATTAACCACAAGACATAAATGAAGCACGGAGATTAATGTTATTAATCCGGAATCCGCCTGTGTCCTTCATCAGCGATGCGAGAAAGAAACCGAGAAACGGGGAAGACTCACCAAAGGTGGTTCTTGTGGCTGGTGGGAATTCGTTGAAGGGGGCAAAAGTCTAATTTTATTAGTAAAAATCCGATCCCAACTTGATTCCTCAAAATTATTAGAAATAATTTGTAAAAAGGATGAGACAGAAGTAAATCTATATATTTTTTAAGGTGTTATTGAAATTTTATTTAACTTTCCACATGTCCTCCATCATTAGTAATACAAAGGGTAATACAATTTTGCAGTTCACGGAAAACATTTTCCAACTAATTTACAGTAATGCCTGAAATCACATTAGTTATTTTAGCTATACTTAAAAATAGGTACATTAAACTTTCTAACATTTTAACTAATTATTTCTATCACAAATACAAATAAGTTATAAATTTTCTAAAGTACACACGAACTCTATGGACACCCTGTATACACACACACACACACATACATACATACATACATACATATATATATATATATATATATATATATATATATATATATATATTCAAACTAAGCATTTCCAAATGGTGTAAACGCTGGACAAAAAAAGTTCAATAATATATTAAATATATGTATATTAATTGTAAAATATCAAATATGAGTATAATTTAGGGATTAAATTTAAAGTGAATAATTTAAAGTGAATTTAAATTTAAAAGATGGATTTGAAACCATCGCCCCTGCACTGTGGCTGGTGTTGCTGATAACACCGACTGTTATTTTGTGGTTTTCGACACAGCTCTCAAAATGGTTCTGTCATCAACTTCTGTTGATTTTCTTTACCAACCTGTTCTGTGTCTGTAGCTCAGTACACCAATAACTTCTTTCTTTTTCAGGACATCCCGAATTGCAGTTCTAGCTATGCTCAATATTTGTGCAATGGTTCTGATCAATTTTCCTTATTTTCTCAGATTTAAAATGGCTTGCTTCTCTTCTACAGACAGCTCTCTCGTCTTTATGTTAATTTATTCTTTTTAACAAGAAATGCATTCTTTACAGTCGAAAACCAAGGCTAAATTCAAGAGTAGTCAATCAGGGATACTTAATGGTTAAACAATCTAAAATGAAACATCTGGACAACAATAGACAACTGTCGATCACGTATTCCAGTAGTTTTGCTCTCTTGAAAAATGGGTGGCTTCAAATAAAAGGTGGTATGTCCTAAGTTGTTTAAAACATCTAAAAGTAAACACCAGGATATAAAAGTTTAAATTCTAAATCCTTGTCTCATATTCATCTTTGGATCTTAAAATGTATTCTGCGAAAAACTAAATCAAAGAAATTGGCCTTGCCTTTCCAAAACATTTGAAGGGGACTTTATATATTGCCGTACAACATAGATAGATAGATAGATAGATAGATAGATAGATAGATAGATAGATAGACATAGTGTGTAAAAGATATATAGAGAGAGACGGATATAAATAGTAGTAGAATCAACTGATAGGCATACAGATAGATAATTATATAGATAGATAGATAGATGAATAGATATGGATAAAACGTAGTAACTAGATATATATAGACAGACTGATATAGTTATTAGTAGAATGCAACTGATAGACATACAGATATATATATATATATATATATATATATATATATATATATATATATATATATATATATATATATATATAGATAGATAGATAGATAAAAATACTTGAAAATTCTGTAATTTTTTTCATTAACTTCTTACTCCTGTGCTAAGGTGAAGGAATCTTTTATACATATGAACAGAAATGAGGAATATCTTTGCGCTAGAATTATAAGCATCGAAATTGACCTGTTACATTTAATGTATGTGTGTGAGTGTGCGTTTGGTAAGCTCAAGAAACCGAGCGAGCGTGAATTCTTTCTTCTTCGTAAAACTAATATCGTAAATAAATTCTTTCAGGTAAGATAAAACCTGCACTCCATTTTCTTTGATCTGAGAGATTTAAAAAGTTTACTTCCATCAAACCCATTTAAGCTGACTCAGATTTCCCGATGCAATCCTTTTGACATCCATTTCGGTAAGTAAATTCAACAAAATCTATCTATCTATCTATCTATCTATCTATCTATCTGTCTGTCTGTCTGTCTGTCTCATACTTGCTATGCCTATCTGTTTAATTCCATTCATTTCTATCCATTATGTCAGAATTCATTTATCTATCTATGCGCGCAGCCTCTTTTAAACAGAAACACACGCACACACACACTAAAAACACACACACATTTATATATATATATATATATATATATATATGTGTGTGTGTGTGTGTGTTTTGGCGCATTTATCTGTCCCAGAATATTTATTTATCTATCTGACTGCCTGCCAGTCTGTCTGCCTGCCTGCCTACTTTATTCTCTTCATATCTATCTATCTATCTATCTATCTATCTATCTATCTATCCCATTCTTTTCATATCTATCTATCGATCGCTCAGTATCTTCAAATCTATCTATCTATCTATATATCTATCTATCTATATATCTATCTATCTATCTATCTATCCCATTCTTTTCATATCTATCTATCGATCGCTCAGTATCTTCAAATCTATCTATCTATCTGTCTATCTATCTATCTATCCCATTCTTTTCATATCTATCTATCGATCGCTCAGTATCTTCAAATCTATCTATCTATCTATCTATCTATCTATCTATCTATCTATCTATCTATCTATCCCATTCTTTTCATATCTATCTATCGATCGCTCAGTATCTTCAAATCTATCTATCTATCTGTCTATCTATCTATCTATCAGGGTATATGTATATTTTTTATTCTCTCTATCTACTTCTCTCTATATATCTGTCTAATTCAATCTATTTTGTACTATTAAGTGTTTTATAATAGATTAACAATTTTATATGAGTTTAATTATATTTTCCTACATAGTATTTACTAGACATTTGTGTCAACACTCGTCCATATGTCATATGCTACAATTCTCTTATCTCTCTCTCTCTCTCTCTCTCTCTCTCTCCTTTCTATCTATTTATCTATCTATCTATTTTCATATTTGTTTTATGTGCGGATATTGTAACGAATTGTAACTGGGAATTCAGATTCTAGGAGTTGAATTTCGATTCTAGTCATGTTCGTTGCAATCAATAAGGCGCAAATAATCTTGATAATGATATGAATCTGTCTTCCCCACTAGCTATGGATAAAATAGTGTTTATAGCTGCAAGAATCATTGTTATTCTCAAAAGATTTTCAATTTGATATGCATTCGCAAAAGTAATAGAGTTAATCTAAAAATCCGGAATAAATTTTTACTTCAAATAAATCAGAAAATATTGATAAGCCGGAACAAACAAATGAATCAATCGATTTCGTAGCCGTTACTATTTATTCAAATGTATTCCCTTATATTGATATATTGAATCCGTTTGTTTTGTTTGTCTATTTGTGTGTTTCCTTGTTTCATAACTTTCATCTTTTCTTTCTTTCTTTCTTTCTTTCTTTCTTTCTTTCTTTCTTTCTTTCTTTCTTTCTTTCTTTCTTTCTTTCTTTCCTTTCTTCATTCATTCATTCTTCCTTTCTCTGATTCTTTCTTTCGTTCTTTCATTCTTTCGTTCTTTCTTTCTTTGGTAATTTTATGTCATTTCTATTTAATATAGTTTCTGCTGTCAAGATTCGTATGCCTGTTTATTCAATAGTGAAATTTTGGAAAGTAATGAAAGTGAATTAAAATATTTTTTCCATAGAATATTGTTGCTTTATAACTGCAATTATAATATTTTTTCTATCTGTGTCTCTGTTTTCTCTCTCATGTATATGCAACAGCCAAGTATAAGGAAAAAATAGCAACGCCATGGAAAAAACAGCCTTGAAAATGGTTTTGAAGTGGCTTGAAGGTCTTGGGACAATAAAAATTATGGAAAATCTTTGTCCTCCCTTTCTCCAACAATACGAGAAAACGTAAGGATGCTGTAAAAAACTTAATAATAAAAAAAAAATCTTCCTTGTCTGCCGTATTTAATGACAGATATCTGAAATTTGAAAAAAACCTTGCTGCCCAAATATATATATATATATATATATATATATATATATATATATATATATATATATATATATATATATATATATATATGTTATGGGACCTACCTTTATGGACCAAATGAACTCGTTCTATTACTATATATACGGGGAGATTATGCCTTTCAAGGGAGCTGTCTACAGTTTACATGTTCCAAACAGTCGAACTCTCTGCCTTCGGGCGGAGAGGAACCCGAACGAGGCCACGCCGATGGGCAGAGTCTCGTTCGGGGAGGTTGACTGCCCCTGAACCCGTTTATGCGGGTTCAAAGAGGGATTATTTTTGGTCGAGCCTACGGGCTCTGTGATCCCACGTTAAACCGGCCTTGTGCCACATGTAACCCTCGTGGAGGGGGGGGTAACTAAATATCGCTGTCTATAGTTGACGAGTTGACTACTGTACTTTGCGGTCAGTCGGACGTGCAACACTTTTGTATTCGTTCTTTTTGTTTAATAATATGTTGTCACTAAATTGCTGAGTTCGAGTTTTCTTCCGGACCTATTCTGGGTCCACAACAATATATATCAGCAGTACTCATACAAAGTATAAATTAGTAAAGTTAATGTCTTATTCATTTCGCTTACAAATTTAGTAAAGCATTAACTTAAAAAATACTTTGTTTTTAAAATTGTAACATGGATTAGATGTTCAGTCCATTTGCAATTATTTTCAATAAATTAATTCATCAGACGAAAATAAATGTAATAGAGTTCGAAGGATTACCTGTATTGTATTTATTTTGGTCTTGGAAGTTACCTGAAATTATCTGAAAGTGACAAATAATATCCATTTTGATGAATGGTTTTATCGAAAGTACTTGCAAATGGACTGAACATCTAATCCATTTTACAAAGATCGTGTCATTCAACGAGTAGTTTTTAAGTTAATGCATTATTAAATCTGTTAACGACGTGTTTTCGCCATTAATTACATTAATTGTACTGATTTATTCTTTGGAGGACTTATTATTATATATATATATATATATATATATATATATATATATATATAGATGAGTACACACAAACGAGTCAAAAAGTTATTGTCACTTTCGCCATAACATATCTTTGTCAGATTTCCTTCTACTTGAGCGTAGTTACTTGGTGTACACTGCTCGCAGATCGCCCATGTGTACTATGTAACAGCAGCAAGGAAAATGGTCGATCAAGTGCGTACTTCGATCACATTACCACAATAGTACCAGCTATAAACAGGCATTAGCAGAAGATAGTGTAACAAACATAAATATACGTTATGACGAAAGTGTAGGTAATTTTTACTTACCCTCGTATAATTTTTGGTATATATGTACACTTTTATCTTCATTTCTGAATTCCCTAGGGAGTATTTTCATAGAATGGAAGTGACTTTTTTCATCGGTCGATGCATATGAAAAATAAATCAACAAATATAAACATACATAGATTCACACAAAGAAATCACACAAATATATATATATATATATATATATATATATATATATATATATATATATATATATATATATATATATATATATATATATGCACGTACATACTTAAAGTAAATGAATATACTAACACATATATACATGCATATTCTGAAATCTTCATAGCTGTATGCACTGACATGTACGTATGCGCCTGCATGAATATTTTTATGTGGCAGGATTTTCACCATCTTGTCTACCACCGTTTCTGGAGCCTATATTTGTGATACTCCTCTATGGGTGAAATCTAATTTCTTTTAAGATCAACTCGATTTTCTTATCCCATAAAATTTGAATAGACGAATCTTTTTTTTTTATTCTTCAAAGAGATCGTACCTGATAAAACGTATCAGAAAACACACTTTCGTAATATTTCTTAAATTTTTTTTTTCGTGAGAAACTACTAACTGGTATGCATCGTGTTTTTCAGTTTTATTTTCGTAAAATAATTTCACTTCCTTTTTTGTTTCTGAAAATTGTTGTTTTGTTTTTTATATAGATATATGCTTTCGGGGTAACTTTTAAAAAGATCTGTTTGTTTTTGTGTTTTCTTTAAATGAGACTTATTTTTGTTTTTGGTTGCCAATATCGTCGTTGACATTATCATTCTGCATTCTGCCTTTGTTTTTGCCATTTTCTTCGTCTCCGCCATTGCTTTGTTTTATTTTTTTCTCGTGTGATCTTTACATTTTCTCTTAACTTATTTTTTTTATTTCTCATTGTTGGCAAATGTGGTTTTCTGTTCTTCGTTTCTGTCATAGGGTTGAATGTTGAGTTGTGTTTATATAAGTTACTCCGAGTTTTACGTATTAGTAGTTGATAGTGGATTTATTCCTCTTTTTTATAATGAAAATAAAATGAATAAAACAACAAACAACAATGAGACCTTGAGACACGCGTTGAAACTAATGACAAGAATGTATATTTTCTTTTCGTGAATATTATTTACAATATTGGTTTTGTGTGTGATATATTTGTTCAGCGTTATTGTTTCTTTTTGTTTCTTTAAGTTTGGGCTTTACTTGTTCATAATTGTTCCGAGAATATCGTGGTTAAATGAAGTTTTCGAAACCGTCAACTTTGTATTTTCACGGAGCGAAGAAGATGCGTCTGTGTTTTTTCTTTTTACTCCTGCTACTGCTTTTGCTTGTGGTAGAAGTTTAGCATTCCGCTACCACTTTTTCATCAATGTCGATGTTTGTGCAAAAAGCGGATCACAGCTTCATACATATTTTCAGAAAACCTTAACTTCTCATTGGACAATAAATATTAACATTATCTCGTGTATTTTCACGTATATTATTCTCAATAAGCAAAACAAAACATATCGGGCTTCAAATGAAATAACTTCACTGTAATTCAGGCTAAAATTTCAATTAAAGGAGTCACTTCTTTTGGAACTTATTAAAAATTATTCAATAACGCTGTTGAATCTTATGAAACTTAATCAAAACATTACAAACAATACATTCAACTACGAACAACGAAAATAAACATTACTGGACATTCACTACTCCAACTTCTTTAAAGCTAAAAGTTTATCAATATATTTTCAGCTTTAAGGGATTCTTTAAACTCTTTTTCAGTGAACATTTTGAGCGACAAGTAAATTCAACTTTTTGTGAGCTCAGGTAAAAATATATTTCAGTAGTAAAGACTTTAACCCAGTCAAAGGGAAGTAACTGATATTAACAATTCATGTAAAACCGTTCACATATATAAATAGAAATATTGTACCTGTTATGAAAAGTTATTTCCTTCTGTTCTTTCTTTTTGTTTGCTTTTCGTTTGCTTGCACATTCGTAAAGAAAAGAAGTGTGCGGCTTGATTTACGCCGTCAATACCACTACTGAAGGATTGTTTTTATAATGATGCAGTTTCACATATTTTTTTCTAGAATGAATCCTCACGCGTGAAAAGGTTGTTTTTAGACTGATAAAATTTTAGATCTTGATTTCTAGAATCATAAAATATCATCATCATGAATCATAAATTTTCTTTCCTCCACACCATTATCATTAACCGTCTTGTCATTCACGTGTTTTTGTGTTTCTTGATTAAATTATTAACATTTCATTTTATTTTATTCGGAAACGACCTAAGAAAAAGGATTTACCATATTTTAGATATTTCACTTTTTTTCTCAAAGCTTTTTGCATATTTTTATCATCTTTTTTTTTTCTAGTCTTTTCCTAAAAAGTACATTACTAAATGTAAAAGTACATGTTCTAGCTATGCTCATATATTTGTGCAATGGGTCTGGTTTCAATTTTTTTTTTTCCTTATTTTCTCAGATTTGAACGTAAAAAATTATTTGCATTTTCGGCTTTTAAATAATTATCTCTTCAAACCGTAAAAGACAAATCATATATTTATGAATATTTCTTTTCAGCTTCTTTATGTTAATTTATTCTTTTAAAAGAAATATTAACAATTCATTTACAGTTGAAATTATGAAAGTTATTTCCTTAAATTTTGTTTTTTTTCGTTTGCTTGCACATTCGTAGTCAATTAGGGATACCTAATGTTTTAAACAATCTAAAATGAAACATGAAAAGGTTGGACAACAAGAAATAACAACTGTCGATCACGTATTCCTTGTCATTAGTTTTTGTGTTTTTTTGCATTTCATTTTATTTTATTCTTGAAAAATATTTTGGGTTTTTTTTTTCTAGGCTGCAATGGTTCTGAAATAAAAGGTGGTTAATTTATTATGTTCAAAAACCAAGGCTAAATTCAAGAGTAGTCAATTAGGGTTGTTTTTAAAAAAACATCTAACATTTGTTTGCTTCAAATAAAAGGTTTTCTAAGTTGTTTGCTTGCACATTCCTAAAGAAAAGAAGTGTGCGGGTTGATTTATGCCGTCAATACCACTACTGAAGGATTGTTTTGTTTTTTTCCTCTTTTGTGTTTTCTTTTTCGCATAACTTATCCCTTTTTCCTTCCTTACTTTCCTTCATCCTTATTTCTTTATTTGCTTTACTTTTCTTTCTTTCATTATCTTTCATTGTCATTCTTTCTTTCTTTCCATACATTT